CCGAATGTAATCCTGCGTCGATATATGTGAAGCTTGATTCTAAGGGGAACGATGGATTCCCGAACACGTGTGAGTCGCTTCTAAAAGCGGCTGTGCTACGGAGAGATAGGAACGAGCAAGTAGGTGCGACAGCAGTAGGACAGGGCGGAGTCGGGAAGACATGTGCCCTACGAGCGATCGCACACGACGGTGAGATTAAGACGGAGTTTTCGGGAGGAGTGTACTTCATGTCGTTGGGGAAAGATGGAAACGTGGGACGGGTGATTGAGGAACTGTGTCTGATTGTGGAAGCGTCCGGTGGCAAGCAGACGGCTGCGGAAATGCGAGAGCAGAGCGAGTTTGAAAGGGTGTTAGTGAAAGTACAAGCGTGGTTTTGCAGTCATGTGTGTCTGTTCATCATTGATGATGTGTGGGTGGTGAATGATATAGAGGCGAATATCCTTCAAAAGTTGTCTGTTCTCGCTGACACTGCGGGGGGCAGCGGGGAAAGGAGGAGCAAACTACTGTACTCCACGAGGGATAGGGAGCTGCGTCAGCTTGGGGAGCGGATTGCTTTCGAGCCGAGAGAGACAGAAGGGAAAGAAGCAGTTGACATGCTAGTGCACGCGAGTGAGGCGAATCGAGGGGAAGTGGATGATGCGAGATGCAAGGAGGCCGTGAGTGAAATACTGGAAATGTGTGGCGGATTGCCGCTTGCCCTGAATGTGGCAGGAACGAGTGTGAGGTACATGAGGGAAAGATGGGAGGGAGAAGTATCAGAAGCATGGGGGGAGTACCTTTCGAGGATGAAGAGGCGTAACACGATTCGTGGGGAGAGTCCGAAGGACGGATATTCGTCGTTGGATGGGACATTGCATACGTCACTAGATATCCTGGAGTCAGATGTGGGAAGGAGTGGGGAGACATTTGGTGAATTTTCGTTTCGAAAGATACACCGGAGTCTGTGCGTTATGAAGAAGCAAGACCGGATACCTTTGAGTTTGGTTGGAGATTTGTGGGAGCTGGACGAGGTGGAGACGGAATGGTATGCAAAGGAGATGGAAAGGGTTGGGTTAGTGGAACTGCAGTATAAGAAGGGCTGTGGTGGGTTGCGGGTGCATGATCTGACGCACGATTTTGCGGTGCAGGAGGCGCAGAAGGAAGAAAGTGTAATGGTCTGGTATAAGAAGTTGGCAGATGTATGCAAGCAGGGAAGAGGACTGCTTGCTATAACTGAGAGCGAGGGCAGAGAGAGCAAGGATGCAAGAGAGAAGTATGTTTTCGAGAACATATATCGCGTTCTGAGACAGGGCGGGTGTGCAGAGGAGCTGAAGAATCTATTTTTGAAAGCGCGATGGGTGAAGACAGTGATACAGAGAGGAAGTGTGTGGCAATACGAGGAAGCTGTAAAGGATCTAAGTAGCGTTTTGAGGAACAGGGGAGGAAGCGAGAGCCTTTTAAGGGATACGGGAGAAGAAGATTCGGTGTCTGCGATGGAATTGATGATGAGAGCTGCGCGACTGAGTGTACTGTTTTGTGGTGAAAGTAGTGCCGGGATTTACTTTCAACTGTACGGAAGAATCAAGCACAAGGCATCAGAATTAGGTAGCGTGCAAAGGATACTCGAGGAAATCAAGAGATACGCACCACGGCCGTGGGTGCGGCCTGTGAGTGAGTGTGTAGCGCGAGCCGATGGAAGGTTGGTGGAGCAGATCGTTCTGCCATATGCGAGAGGTGTAATTCAAGTGGGCATGGATTCCAGTGGTGAAGTGTATGGATGTCAGGTGAAGGAGTCCGGGGCAGAAGTAACAGTTTTCAGGCAATCTGCTGAGAAGGAGACGAAGATGGTTCGATTACAAGGCGAGTTCGAAACGGAGAGCCAGAGCCCAGGGGACGTTGAAGCAAGAAGTGTAACCTCCGAAGTGACTAGAAAAAAACGGAGCATGACGAGAGCTACGCGCGCAACTTTCTGTGAGAGGAAGGGGTATGTTGTTGTGGGATATGAAGACGGAACGTTAAGGCTGTGGAGTACGTCAGAGAAGAAAGTATTGAGGAGTTTCCACGGTCATAGGTCGAAAGTGGCTTGCGTTGCGATGAGTGGGGACGGAAGACGTGTGGTATCTGGATCGGAGGACATGAGCGTGCGGGTGTGGGATGTGGAGACGGGAGCACAAGTCGGGGAGGCGTTAGTTGGACACACGAGGGATATGAATAGCGTTGCGATGAGTGGGGACGGAAGACGTGTGGTATCAGGATCGGAGGACAGGAGCGTGCGGGTGTGGGATGTGGAGACGGGAGCACAAGTCGGGAAGGCGTTAGTTGGACACACGAGTTCGGTGCTTTGCGTTGCGATGAGTGGGGACGGAAGACGTGTGGTATCTGGATCGGCTGACAAGAGGGTGCGGGTGTGGGACGTGGAGACGGGAGCACAGGTCGGGGACGCGTTAGTTGGACACACGGATTGGGTGTGTAGCGTGGCGATGAGTGGGGACGGAAGACGTGTGGCATCTGGATCGTTTGACAAGAGCGTGCGAGTGTGGGACGTGGAGACGGGAGCACAAGTCGGGGAGGCGTTAGTTGGACACACGAGTGATGTGTGGAGCGTTGCGATGAGTGGGGACGGAAGACGTGTGGTATCTGGATCGATGGTCGACAGCGTGCGGGTGTGGGACGTGGAGAGGGGAGCACAAGTTGGGGAGGCGTTAGTTGGACACACGAGTTCGGTGTTTTGCGTTGCGATGAGTGGGGACGGAAAACGTGTGGTATCTGGATCGTTCGACAAGAGCGTGCGGGTGTGGGACGTGGAGACGGGAGCACAAGTCGGGGACGCGTTGGTTGGACATACGGGTATGGTGAATAGCGTTGCGATTAGTGGGGACGGAAGACGTGTGGTATCTGGATCGTGGGACACGAGCGTGCGGGTGTGGGATGTGGAGACGGGAGCACAAGTCGGGGAGGCGTTGGTTGGACACACGGATGAGGTGGATAGCGTTGCGATTAGTGGGGACGGAAGACGTGTGGTATCTGGATCGTATGACGAGAGCGTGCGAGTGTGGGACGTGGAGACGGGAGCACAAGTCGGGGAGGCGTTAGTTGGACACACGGGCGAGGTGTGGAGCGTTGCGATGAGTGGGGACGGAAGACGTGTGGTATCTGGATCGGCAGACATGAGCGTGCGGGTGTGGGATGTGGAGACGGGAGCACAAGTCGGGGAGGCGTTAGTTGGACACACGGGTATTGTGTATTGCGTTGCGATGAGTGGGGACGGAAGACGTGTGGTATCTGGTCTTTTTGTGTTGAGTGAATGCGTGAGAAGTTGATTGACGGACGTTGCAGTGCCTGGATGTGTATGTACAGTATGAACTAGCGACGTGCTTCCCTTCATCACTCAGTAGACAAGTGTAGGGATGCGAGCGGACCTGACGTGTATTAAGTGTTTCATGGCGATGGCTGGTCCTCCACGCAGACAGGGGACTAAGAAACGTTCACGGCGGCATCGAGCGTCGGACAGAAGCGACAGAGATGCCACGCCGTAGGCTGGCAGCTGAAGGTATTGTGATGCATTGAGCCAGGTGTGCACGCACGGTGCGCACGGATTCGGGGTGGAGGTTAGCTGGGAATTGAAAGGATGGGAATTGAAAGGACATGTGCGTTTCTCAGGTGCGCTTTTGTGCTCGCGGCCTCCCCAACGGCGACGTTCACGGATGTCGCAGGCATGATCGCGCCGAGCACGGAGGGACCTTGGCGCCCAATGTACTGGCTCGACTCAAGTGTGCAGACGACCTGCGGCTGATGGACAAGGGGGGGGCCTAGTGCACGTGTCGCAAGAACGACGGCGGGTTTGACAGCGACGGGCGGGGTGGGCGACAGGCGTGGCCGCGGTTGAAGAGGATGTACAGGTAGGTGGACAGGGTTGCTTCGTTCCGTCGGCGTGTGTATCAATCATGAGTTGCACAGTTGTACAGCTATACAAGTGTACAACAGCAATGCAAGCCGATCATGAAGTTTGGTCTTCAATTAACTGTAGAAGAGAGTGCAATTATTGCATGGCAGAAGCATTGTGAGTCTGCTTTCTGACTTGCTCTTGCCTGTCAGATTGAGAAGTCGAATGCACTCCCCTTCAAGGTCGGTCTTCAAGGTCGGTCTTGCCGTAATAATGTAGCATAGATTCACATCCCCTGTCCCTTGTCCTTGCATGAACCTTTAGAACTTAAGCTGTATCACCTACTGTAATGATTCTAGGCCCAGAGGCGCTTACCGTTAGCTTTTAGCCGAGCGATTAAATCGCCCGAAAGGATAGCCACTGTTATCCGCGTGGAGGTACAATTTCAATTACTTTTGAGCTCATAATCATTACTCTTCGTGACTCCGCACTGTTGTCGTTTATGAAAAAGCAAAATATTTCGAAATACCCACACTTTTCCCGCTAGTGGCGATATCGGCCTCGATTATCGATCGTTCTCGACTCTTCTCTCGACTGCGATCGTAGTTTGCGGCGCATGAAATCCGAGCAAGTTGCTTCAAGCCTTTTCTTTTTCTTTATCACAGGGTATCATAGGGGCTTCAAGCCTAGAAAATATGTTTCTCACGAAACACTTGTCGCAGTTAGTAGGCTTTCCGAAAGTGCCATACAGAGTGTTTATTGCCACATTTCAACTGTACAACCAGCGGTCGTCCAATAGCGTCTCGTTCAAGCGCCGGTTTCTGGCAGCGTCAACCTCATTTGTTCATTCCCCGTTTCCTGCAACATGATTGGACAAGGCGAGACAGGATGGCCCCCAGATGCAACTGAACTCCGATTCTAACTGTCCCCCCTCGTCCACCCCGTTGCCCGTTGCATATCAAACGGGCTTGTACCTATCCGCCGAGAAAGTTACGGCGCCCAGCTGTGCACACCTCTCGCAGTCCCCGTCCCGCCGTTTGCCGCCCCGAGAGCACCACCCACCTCCTTTTTTTGCTGCCCTCATCATGCCGCACCTCACATGCACGTCGCACTGGAAAGAGGGCTCATGATAACAGCCATGAGGTCGAAGGCACGTTGTCGTCTCGCTGCTTCGGCGCCCACGCCCTCCCGGTTCGCGTCCGCGTGTGACTGGCTTGCCATATGCACGAGGACAAGGGGGCACCGTATCGGATTTGTCATCCCGGTCATCCCGAAGCGAGGGGCGGTGACTATCGGATCGCACCCAGTCTCTCCGCATTTGTTCATCGACGTTTTTTTTATTTGCATGTATACAACTGTCCACATTCACCCGAAACGAAACATCGGCTGAGCTAGAAACTATCCTCTTTGCTGCAGAGCCTGCCTGTTTGAAGAGATAGTGAGACAACTCACCATCTCACGCGTTTTCTATGTGTAGGATTTGTGCTTCTCCTACCGTGCTTTCTACATCATACCTAGGGAAGTAGCTTGTGTGTTTGGTAGGTTTTGAAAAGCTGCTATAGTACTATAAGTATGCCGAGTAAGAGGTTCAAGTCAAAGTTCAGAGAACAACCACGACAATACAAGAGACCTCCGCTTTCCCGTTTGTTCACACCAAGACAGACTTTTTGACTGTCTTTTTGCCCACAACCTACGGCGAGTAGTAGGGACGGAAGACGTGTGGTATCTGGATCGTATGACATGAGTGTGAGGGTGTGGGACGTGGAGAGAGGGATCACACTTTATATCGGGAGGGTAGAGGATTTCGGGGAAATCAAGAGTCGGTTTCCTGAGGACGGAAGACATGGGTACTGCTTCTCGCGCAGGACGAGCAGCACAAATAATTTCAAGGAAGGGAGGAATTGTGCAAAGGCGAGAGGATGGGTCTGAGGCTGTCTTGCACAGTTGGACAATCCAGGAGACTTGCAGATAGACCACGATCACGGGGTCGCAGTAGCAAGGGTGGGTCATCTGGTTGCTATCATGAAGCTAATGGTGTAAATTCGGAAAGCGATAGACGCTTGGTGCCCGGGACATTAGTACTGCGTTGCAACTGTGCGCGGTGGTACTGTAGTGGGGAGGGTTTTTTGTTTCGTTATGAATGCGTGAGGAGCTTGCTTGATGGATGTTGCAGTCCATGTATGCGTCAGTATGAAGTATCGACCTGCTTCCCTTTCAACACTCAGTAAACAACTCTAGAGGGATGCAAGCAGACTTGACGTGTAATAAGTGTTCCATGGCAAAGGCCTTTCCTCTACGCAGACGGACGACTGAGAAACAATCACAGCAACGTCAAGTATTCAGACAGAAGCGACAGAGGCGCCACCTCGCTCCCTCCCGGCACGCAGAAGATATTGTGACCCAATGACCCACGTGGGTTTGGTGCCCACGGATTCAACATGGAGGTTAACTGACGAGTGAAGGGATATCGCTGTCTCTCAGCAGTCAAGTGAGCTCTTGTGCTCACTATAATATCTTGAGCAATAACGTGCAGGCACCCTGCCATCAAATGCGTCAGTCGCGTGCGAGAAAAGATGTAGAGGTAGTTGTATTGGTGAAATCAAGGGTGTGTTGATTAGAGCAAGCGTTGCCGACCGGCTCAAGGCAGGGCGCGAGTCTCAAAGTTGAGAGGATATTGATACACGTGCACAGGTCGCACAGGTGCACACGTGTGAGAAGAAAAAAGGCAAACGAGACCATAACATTCAAGTTTACCATAAACTTGGCCTTCTATGTACAGTACCCTTGGGTACTCTTCACGACGTGCAGACACTGTTTCGCTGCCGTTCCCCTCCTCCTTTCTGCCCCACCTCCTTCGTGCTGCCAACAAGCAGCGGCCTGCCAAGTTTCTGCCATCCGACAACCTCCTTCCACCTGCACCCTCTCCGCGAGCGCCCTCGTCCGCCACACCAGCCGCTCGTTCTCGCGCTCCACGCCGCGCATCCACGCCGTCTTCCGTGCCTCCCGCATCACACCACCAGGTGGCCGGGCGCGCGTGCTGATCGCGCACCCCCGCCGGGCGGCCGCATACGCGCCGCGCCATCATGAGGCACGTTGCAAACCTGACGCGGATCCCGGTCCGGATCTCGATCCCCGCTCCCCCGCGGCAACGAGGCGACTGGTGCGAGGCATGACAGTGTAAGGCGGCGGGCAGTCGCAGCAGACGCGCGGGCAGGCGATAAGGGCACGTTGGAAAAGCCGGAGGATTAGCCCGGGCGGGAAGGCTCTGAGGGCGGTGAGGGAATGCGGAGCGGAGGGCGGAGGATGATGACGAAAGGCGGCGTGACGTACAGGGGGGTGCGCTAATTGTCGCACGATTTCGAGAAAACGATTTCGAGAAAACACACCCTCCCGTAGGTTTTCTACCTCCAATGCGAATGAATTTTAGAGCAATAAAAAGCCCGCTTTGTCCTCTATGTTGAACCAGAATATGGGTGTATAAAACGGACCAGTTTTCGCACAGCTCGACAAAGCGATGCCAGCGCCAATGAAAAAAAGGAGAGCCTTTATGTTGCTAAAGATCGAACACAATCAGAAAGTTGGCCCTAAAAACACCTCAATTTCTGATGTTTAGGACTTCGCCACGTCACCAATCAACCAGTCAAAAATTCCCTCATCTCATCTCCAAGACGCTTCTAAGGACAACCGGAAGCTCGCGTTCTGGCACGCAGCTTGGCGGCTGCCCTACGCTCCACCATACTGCGCGCGCCAGCCACAAACGGGGCTTCCGGCAACCCTGCCAGCTCCACACAGCGTCTCATTCTGTCTGATCGAACTTGTTTCGAGAATAAAGCTACCAATGCCCGACTACGCGTGTCCTTCACTTTCTGCTACTCTGCGCGGCGCGCCACAGCTTCCATCTTTCGTAGTGTAGCGATTTGTTTCTTTCGCACCAAGTCCTTCACATGCGGAGCCGTCATGACACACCCTTGTGTCGTATCGACAAATCCATTTAGTAGAATGGTTGCCGTATCACCCAGTATTCTTCAGCGAAGAGCAGAACGTCGTTCCTCAAGCAATTATACTAACTGCTCCACCGAGCACAGCTCTTGGCTCTGCGTATCATTAGTGGGACGTGGAACACCTAATAATCTCATAGCATCGCAGGACCATACCTTACACCGTCTGAAAGAAGCCATAATATTCGTCGAGTTGAATGAACTAATGTAGGCCTCTCGTAGCAGGGCACAAACGTCAAATATATCCCAAGCTTTGTTGGTAGTTTGGGCTGTGCCACTGAAAATGCGGTTGAGGGAACCCTTAAATGCCTCAAACTGAACAACATCCAAAGGTTGGGTCTTTTCTGACGTGTGAGCAGGAAGCGCATAAACTACTACATTTCCCTCCAGTAGTATATCTAGTACATCTAAGGACAGGTGGGCACGATACCCATCAAAAATGAGTAACACTTTGCTTGTTGATGTCCGTCCTTTCACATAGTCCACAAACCAGACCGCCCAGTTCTTGAAGTTGACAGAATCTACTCCTCCAGTTTCTTCCCGTACCGCGACCACAGAACCTGGTGGCAAGAGGGATGCAGGTGTTTCTTCTACTTCCACTCCATCATGGACTACTATCTGGAACAGCAGGCGCGAACCTTTAAACACAAACAAAGGAGGTCCCGCCTCACCCTTTGCGCAAATGACGGGCATCATGGTAATACGGTCCAGCTTCTTAAGAATAGGAAGTTTGCAATCGTGGCTGTCACTACGCGACATATATCTTTAAGATATAATTCCGGTGATATCCTTCTCAGGACTGACACCTGTCTCATCCAGGTTGAAAATGCGTGATGTATCTAGAGAATGCTCCGCGATGAGCTTCTCGGGAGTTACGAAATGTGAGGTGAGTACAGTACTGTTTACGCCTGAGAATCGATTGGCGTCTTGACGGATAGGTTTTGCAAACTGTATGGAGTTGGAATGCCGAAGACGAAACGAGCGCAGAAAAGGAGAGGAATTAGAGAACGGAAGAAGTAGACGGCGAGATGGTGGCGTTCGGCCTACAATTATTTCAACCGCCTCATGCAAATGCTGCTGACTCAGCGGTACACCGCGTTCGGCAAAAGGGACAAGAAAGTCAACTACCAACTTCTCTTCTTCGTCTCGGAGTGCTCTTTGCCTTCCAGGCTTCTGAATCGGTCTGTTTGGATTGGTCACAATGGCATGAAGAGATGCAATGGGAACGAAGAATGTTGATGCTTCACGCCGGTATGTCATCCCAGACTTCACTGCCTCAACAGCACCTGCGATCCTACACGCTGGATATGCAGCAGCTGGTCTCCGAGCGTTGGTCCCCACGACGTAAGCAGCATTCAGAAATGTGGGTTTGGGAATAGGGAGAAGGGATGTGCAGGCGTATACTTCAGATCCTCTTCTAGTAGTACAATTGCATGAATTTGCACGTTTTGGAGTTGAAAAGGCGCACTATACATGAATTGAGATGCGCGGTTTCGGTCGAGCGCGCCAAAAATAGACTTCATCAGGCCCTTTTTCTGTAAACAGCATCTCAAGACATACATCTCACTCGGGCTGAGCAAAAAAGCGTCAAAAGTTTTTAAAATATACGTTCGGCAATTGCCGTGCGTTCGACAATTAGCGCACCCCCCTTTACATTATCAACGCGGGGTGGCACGGGAGGCAGCACTGTGTGTATACAGTGCTGCATACTATGCACAACACATAACGTATGTACAGTACGATGCTCAGGCGGGTGCAGTGCATACGGGACTGTATGTATGTGTGTATGTACAACGCATAACGTATGCACGATGCTGAGACGGTCATAACCCCGCAGGGGGACGCCTCGGACACCTGTCCTAGTACAGTAGTACAGTACCTGCCGCCTAGTGCGTGCCGGGTATTGTACACAATTAAAAGACTAGCGCCATAATTACTACTACCGCGCGGACGCTGCAGCTACACGTGTGCACTACTGTACACGCGTGTTGCTTACAGACTACGGCACGGACGACACGTGTGCTATCGCGCACACGTAACACGCGTAGACTACCGCACGGACGACACCTGTGCTACTGTACACGTGTGCCACGCCACGGACAGTTGGTCAACGCGTGCGCTCCCTACACGTGGGCACACCCGCCCACGTGTGCACCGTGCACGGCCGCACGGTTAATAACCTCCCCGCGCACACACCGGTCGTTATACTACACGACGCGGTGACTAAAAAATCGTCCATGCCGACAGTGACGAGAGCGTGCTGTTGGCCTTGACGCTGGTTAACAGGCAGGGGTCACTGTCGCATTGGAGGTGGCCGTGCGATTTAAGGTGTTTTTGCAGTCCGGATGTGTAGCGATGTCCTGCTGAACGGCCTCCGTAGAGGTTGCCGAGAAGCTGTCCCGCTTGGTGGGCATGTTTCATTGAGCCGTCAAATCGTGGGTGCTGGCGAACGTAGACGGGGAACTCATGGAGGTATGCTGCGGTGATGTCCATGTATTGTACGGGCCATTGGTTTGCTGCTGCGATTGCGAGTAAGGTGCGTACTGATGTCTTTTCGGCCATGAATGTGGATGTTTTCTTTGGATCGAAGTGCTGTCCTGCCTTCATGCGGTCGCCTCGTATGGAGCAACGGGCTTTGAGTCTGGCGATTTTGCCTTCCTGTGTGCGCTTGTACCGGTATGTCATTGTTAATGGGATGAGCGTCTCATCGGCGGCACTTTTGTCGCTGGGATCCATTTGATAGTGCGCTGTTTGTCTAGAGTTTCTAACTCGTTGTTGTGTGCTGCTGCCCATTGTTGGGCGTCAGGGTATTGGCGCGCTGCGTGTACGTGCCCGGGTGCAGTTGTGGTGGCGTCGACTGTGCTGGGCGGTGCGTTGTGTCGTGGTGGTGTGCGCGTTCTCTGACGCGTTTTGTGCCGAGAGGGTGTGACTTTGAATGCTTTTTTGGACGTGTGCTTGAGGTCCTGGTGCCTGGCGTATGGTCTGAAGTCGATCGCCCTGATGATGCGGTATCGGGGGTTGCGTTTGGTGAGGGTCATGACGTGGGTTTCCGATATGGGATACATATATCTTGCGGGTTCGCTGCGCCCTTGTAGTTTTGTTTTGAGTGCGTGTATGGGAGCGGTGCCGATTTGCCGGAATGCGAAGATGCGGGTCATGTGGGCTGGGCGTCCGTGCCAGAGTGTTCATGGACTTTGTTCTGTGGCGCTGTGCCGCATGATGTTGTATTTGAAGGCTACATCTCGTACGGCATCTTCCCAGAAATATGGTGGGAGGGCTGCGTGATGTAATGCGGCGCGCGCATTTGTGAAGAGCGTCTTATTGATCCGCTCCGCTATTGAGTTCTCTTGCAGTTGATGGGGCGTGTTTGTGATGTGCTGTATGCCGTGCGCACTGTACGTGGCCTTGGCATGTGACGATGTAAATTCCTTGGCGTTGTCCGTTCTGTATGCGAGAGGGAGTTTGTTTTGGGTGGCGAGTGTTTTTAATAGTTGTGGAATTATTGTGTTGACTTCCTGTCGGCGTCGTAGGTAGTATGTGACGAGAT